ATGTATCTAATATACATATATACCAAACCGCTGAATAAATTTTTGTAATATTTAGCTCACTGTTTCCAGTTTGATCCAACTTAAAATATAGGTTGGTTCATATCTAAATTATGATAAAAGTGTGTTCAAAACTAAAGAAATATAAAAATAATGAAACATTCATTACTTTTTCCACTGAAAAATAATTGTATGAATCAACTTCTAACTTATACSTCAGGTATAACCCCTTGGATTTTTATACCGGCGCTTTGGCTTTCACTTTTTTCATATATAGTAGTTTATAAATGTATATCATATCGCAACATACCATACCCATATCTCATTTAATGCTAAATGCCTGGTTTATGGATGATAATACTCATAGATTTATATAAGGAACGAAAAAAAAAGTATTATTTTTTATGTTAAAGCCCAACATTTTTCAACATTTTTGCTTCGATAAAAGCGGTTTTTGTATTTTTTCTCTGTATTTATTTTGAAGCAAAGGTTACATGAATAGTAATATTATCCCTTGGATAAAAACAAATAATTATAAGCGATTAAAACGGCTGAAAGACAATGTTGTTTCGATATTCTTAAATAAGGAATGCCGTTGCAAAGTTTCCTTCGTTATTGCGAAATTTCATAATATGTTTTATTCTTCTAATAATGTGTAGCTATTTTTAATTACATAAGTTATCAGTACCATTATAGGAGAGTTGTCAGTACCATTCCAAATAGTCAATTAAATAGAACCCAAGCAACGAAAACAATATTTGGACTGTTAATAAATATGCCTACTAATATCATGTGAGATCGCTTAAATAATTACACGAACACAAAGTAATAACTTGGTTTCAATTTGCAATCATCATTGGAATTCTTTTCCTGAGAGAAGTATAATTAGCGGTCGAGTGGTGACAGTTACACATATTTTTCTTTGATTAAACTGGGTCCGGAATAGTTTCATTAGAACGGTTACATAATTGCCCACATTTTTTATTTCTTACTTATGACTTACCACTTTTGATTGTTTAAAAAAATAAATCTGTAATATATATCAGTTGATAACAACTCAGAGTTGCTTGCTAGAATTTTTACTTTTCTAAAAAGTTTTCTGATCGAAGTATGTTTCGAATATTTTGTTCCTATATGCATATGTATATTCTGAAATTATTTTCTTAATTATTTATTTATTTCAATAAATTTGGAATTTTTAAAAGTCACTGCATCTGAAACATTGAAAATTAATTTCTTTTCATATATTGCAATTTCAGGCCGGTTATGTAGATAACGTCTTTCTCTATGTTACAATTAGTGCTATTGTACTTCTCTCTTTCTTGTTACTCTATAAACTACGTGTGACAATATTAACCACTTAACTGAGCGAGATTGTACATGTATAACTGAAAATATATTTGTACTATATGAATGATGCACATTACTTAATACAATTGTTTTCTCTGTTTGACAATAGCCACTTGCAAAGAATTTATTTTGAAGCTGCACACCCACAGTACCTAATAATAAGGAAATATATATTAAAACATATTAAACTCTTACCAAATATATCAGATCGGTTTTATAAAAAAATAAGCAAATAAATTTGGTAAACAAACAACAGTCATTAATTTATTTCTCACAAGTAAATAGTTACATAGGTATATGTCATAAAATATATTAATAATAACTTTGGAATATGTATATATATTATTATAAAAATCCAGCCAAAGGCAAAGAAGATATAACCTATCATTTCAATTGTGTTTAAGAAAAATCAACGATGTAAGTGTGGCCTCGTGTTACGTATACTGAAGGTATACCGGATAGTATACACTCAGGATACATTCAGTATACGTATACGAAGTTGCACATGTTCACAACAACCACAAAAGCTGCAAATCACTAAATGCACAACTAATTAAATGGATTACAAACAATGATACCAATTACCAAAAATTTAAAAAAATATTGCAGTTATAAGCTCCGTAGTTATTGTTATTCCAGTTTATAGAAGATGATTAGTTGGAGTCGCAATGTCTTACAATTGATAAAGTTGCTCCATTAGCTGAAATTTCCTCCATGTGTTGGGGTCTACATATATACATACATATACATATGAAAAATAAATGTGCCTTCGACAACAGTATACTGAAAACGTTAAATCAGTTAATTATTCTTAACTAAATAAATATACATATTACTAAAGTGAATTGTTATTTATTTCATAGTGAAACTATAATTAGACACAAATGTATGTTATACCGGTAATTAAATTAGATGTAAATTATTTGAGTTCAACCTCATAACACGTATTCAGAATGACTAACTGCTCCGGCGATCCAGCAGCAACTAATGGACATGGAAATCAGGGAAAATGCAAGCGCTCTTTACTTGTGAGTTTTCATTGTCCTTTTTCATTTGCTTCTCTCGCTCTTTACGTATTTTATTTTCTTACCATCAATTCGTTTTCACATTACCTTACTGAAGGATGTGCGCCGCGAGAAAACTAAAGGGAGAGTAGAGAGAGCTGAATAAGAAAACATATGAGGTATACAAAAAGTACTGTGAAATGAAGGACATAATGATGTAGATAATACTAAAGTCATAACTTTTGTAACAAATATTTATAATGATAACATGAGAACTTCTATAAGGTATGTACCATGATATTTAATCACTTACCGTACATTATCGCCACCTATTCTCATTCATAGTTGATAGTATGTGACCATAACTGATGTAATCAAAAAGGACTTTTGATTAAACGAATAAAATGGTGAAGAGAAATCAGAAACAAAACAGAGAGCGGCTTGCGTTTAGAGAGATTTTGAGAAAATTCACCCATTGAGTCTGAACTTTCGAAAACATGTCATGCTACCCTTTCGTATACGCCGGTAGAATAAAGAAAGCACAAACACACTACAGTGAAAGCTAGACAATGGAAAACTAGTAAAATTCTTATCACCCTTGTAGTAACTTGACTCTGTTGCTTTCGGTGACCATAAACTTTATAAAGTCATTTGTAAAAATACATAACAACTTAAAAGAAAGAAAAAAATAATTTAGCTTCATTGCCAGTATATACTTTCGGGTGCTCTTTGAATTCTCTCAGATGGCACAGACTGCAATTTTGGTAACGCATTATTCCACTACTTGTTTCTCAGATAAAAACGTCGCCTTTTGTTAAACTTCATTCAATTACTATTGAATTATTTTGTTCATAATCTTTTTTACAGTTATGCGCTGTTTGTAGCGTTTAGAATTGGCAACACATGTAATTCAAGCAATTGCTAGTGAGCTTTGACGATAATATGGTGGCGCATGTAACTTTGGTGGTATTGGCATTGAAATTGGTTTTGGTTACATACTATACATGTACAAATATGGAAATCGGAATTTAAAATAAATACCATTTTCATAAAAAAAACTTAAGCAAAATACATAAGAATTTCAAAACGAAATTGTTATCGAATTCACATTTTTTGGAGTTTCCGTACTTCGTGTTCTAATCAATACTCTAGAGTATTGGTCCCAAACTTACACATTTAAATTAAAAAATAAAATAATTACTTTTTAATTTTTACACCCATCATCGAAATTAAAAACGATTACATCTCAACATCGGGATTAATAAATGAAAATCTATTTATTTAACCCAAAGTTTTGAATGATAAAACTCTGAACGCTGCATACAACCAATTATTAGTGTTGCCTACTGTACTACTGTAGTCGTTTAATTATTATTGTGTCTCTCCGTGCTATAAAATTACACATTTTACTTAAGTATTAACTATAAGAAGTGAAATTATCATAAATTATTATGTTTGTGGGTTCTTTAAGAGCTCGGTTTAGAAATGAGTATAATATTTGGCTACCACACAATGTGGTCAACTTACTATGAAATTGCATTGCTTTTGACCAATTTCTACACCACTCACAGTAATCTCATTCAATGTGTCACTTTGGATATTGTACATATTTCTTGTCTAAATGCGTTTTTTGTGCTTAAGGATACAAGAGAACAGGTCTGATAATCTCTCTAATCACCCTTTGTTTTAGGAACACAAAAATTCTCTCACTTTTATCTAACAAACCTATTCGCAAATTTYATATACATACACCTAAATATATAAAACCATTTGTACTTAGTTATTCATTTATTTATGTAGGTACCCTACAGCACCGTTCATACGCATTGTATAAGCAAACAGATATTTACGTAAGAACATTTTTTCCGCAACCAAAACACCTTCACGTTTGTGCATTTAATAAGAAGGACCTTTAGTATATGCTGTGGCTTGTTACGACTGTGGTACATCGAATGTCTTGCAACTTTATAGACCGTCAACTACTCCAACGATCTAATGCGTGAGATAAAATTCAAAATTTATAATATTGCACAATTTACCCAATATAAAGCACAAACTTATGAGTTCAAAAAGTACGTGTCACACTCGCGTGTGTTTTTCGGCAAATACGCCCTCATTTCACCCACTGAATTATGCTATGATTATATGGCGGCTGGCAAACGGCAATTGGCAAACAAAGCATCACCGCCAAGTTGTGCTTCTGTGTGAGGTGATTCCATTGATACAGTACAACCACAATGAACCTCCGTTGTTTTAAGAAGTCAACCGAAACTTTCTCCCTTAACGGCCGCATCCCTCAAATATACCGTTTAGTTGAACAGCATCAACTTAAGACTTGGGCTTGTATAACCAAAATCGTAATTCCAGGGTAGTACCATGTACGTATATGAGGGTAAATTTTTCGATCAAAATTGTTTCTGGTCGACATTTGATGTAGATTATGTTTCCATACAGACTGTTTTCAAAAATTATACTTGTACATTGACACTCCTTCTAAGGTTCAATATGGTGAGTCTTGTAAGTGAGTTAAATGACATTGAAGTTAAAAATGTACTCTTGTAAAATTATTTATTTGAAAGAACAATAAATACGGATAAGAAACAATGCTATGTTTTAATAATAATATTTTTATTCATATCGAAATTTACTATTAAGGGCTCAAATAATGATATTTAGTTGGAATAATATTGTGCTACTAACTTAAAAATTTCTTTTTAAACCAAGTTATAATTATATAATTATAATTAGTACTTAATATATTTCTTCAGGACTATAGATTGCTTACGGAAGATGACAAATTTTAGTTAAGAGTTAAGAGAGAGTATCGACATTGTCCGTACTCCACTTTTGCTATTTTCTTATTGTTGTTGATTTCTATCAAGCGCGGCATGTGCACTTAATAGTCACATGTCGCATGATAGGAGTTTTTCACGTAGTAATTTGGTTGTTTCTTTAGCTATCGAAAAATTGTATACAGTGATTCACAGCTTATTTCGTGTGCACATTTATTAAAAAAAATGTGTGATATTGTTTGAAGATTATTTATTTTAAAAATATCTTAAGTGTACATTCAGAGACAAGTTAATAACATTGACAGTTGTTGACAGTTCCATATAAGCCAYATTTGCATTAATTGTGATTCGTGTTTCGGGTCATTGGCTTGGTAGAATGCAAACCTGTCCATCTGCTTTTTGCAGTAAATTATTTTTTAGTAACTTAAAATAAATGGTTTTATCCATAGTTTGGTCTATAAAACTAAATTGAACGAACGACATAGAGCCCTAAATCATTAAGTTCCTTCCACCATATTTTACTGTTTTACGTAGGTTCTTCGGTTCTAACTCCGTATTGGACTTACGTCATATGAAAGACTTTCCAGCAGAACCGAAGAGATTGAATTTGTTTTCAGCAAATTGCAACCTGAACTTTTTGCAAATAATACAAAAAATATTCCATTTAACATTTTCTTAGTAAACAATTTATAAAGAAATATTACAAATTTTCTTTTAAAGAAATGGACACGTGAAATATGCTGTGAGCCAGTGTATGAATCATGCAAATTAATATAGTTTGCTAAATTTTTAGATTCTGTGGAAATGAGAAAGTCTTCTAATGTTTTTTTTTTTTTGAATTTTATATTCAAGAACATATTAAATATATCGCTTTCTAAGACTCCACCAAGAGAAATTCAATTTGCTCTTGCTTTGCACACTGCACATATTGCAAGGCACAAAAACAAAATATACACGAAAATAATATGTAATGACTGGCACATATGTTACACAAAAAAACCATGTTAATTTTTGTGCAATGAAACGTAGCAAAATCATTTCAACCCTAGGCTAGTCATGTGCATACTTATGCAGACATATGAACATTTCGTAGATATTTCTGTTTCAGAATTAGGTGCTTTCGTGCTCTTGCATATTTTGCTGTAGGAATCGTATAATAGCAAGAGAATTTTTCTAATGATTATAGGTTTTTATTCTTACCTGCTTTAATTCTTACAGGGTTTTGATTATATTTCTAACATTATAAAACATGAATATGCTTGTAAGCCAGTAATTTGAATAACTTTAACAGATATAAAGCTTTGTAACTTATATATCTTCCTAGAAATATTTAGATATATTGGTATGAATATTGAATGCGAGTACGGACATCAACGTATGGCCTGTACTAGTATATATTATATAATACAAGTGATAAACGTAATTGAGACTTTCGCACCGCTGCAGAGAACTTTAAACTTTAAAAACTTTCGAGAAGAATCTCCATTTGTTGATTTATGTTTTAGCATATCCTTGTAGCAAACATTGTTATTGCAAAAACTAATTGCATATCATTAAGCGGGATATCATACAATCAGAACTGAATCTAATAAAACGCTTCATTGTAACTTTACCTAAGAAAAAAAATTATTTTGATTATTTGCATCGAAAACTGTTAAGCTGAATAAGAAATACTAGACATAGTTAACTTGTTCACTCTTAAATTAAATGATAGCACTTAGTAAAAAAGTCAAAAACTAGTCATTTAAACTTAAAAAATAGACTGTATGTGGTTATTACTGCAATATACCTTATACAAAATTCTGAACAAAAAATTTTGGATGTATAGTCAATAATTCAGTATATATATATTTTAGTATTTTTCTCCGACAAATGAGCAGCTTTCTGGAGAAAAAGGATTGAAATTTCAAAAACTGAGAGTATATATGTACAATGTATATAGACGGATAGACAGACAGACAGGGCTAAATGGAAACAACTCGTCATGCTGACCATTTATATATAAAACATTTTTTAGGACCTCCGACGACCTGTAAGAACATGTGTTACAAACTTTGTGGGAAACTTAATACACCCTGTTGAGGGTATAGTAAACTGAGCGTATTTATTGAATTGTTTGAAAGTAATGAATTGCGGACCTGCCTCAACATAATTTTAGGAAAGCAAAATTCAAACATCACCTTATATATGCATGTATGTATATCATTTCTTTAAGCAAACTAGCACATGTACTTGTGTGCTTATATATATATATATATATGCATTCGTAATAAATAGGTCACTCAACTGAATGACAAGTAGACCTTCAGCAACGCAATCGCATTTAATTTTATGGTTGTTTTATTGTCTTAGTCATGTAGGATACGTGGCAGCATTGTTGTTTAAATTATAATTCTCAATTTATATTGCTACGAATATTTGAATTRGTGATTTTATTTAGTTGTTCGTATGTATAGTTATTTTTGTGTGGAAAATATTAAAGACGAGAACATTTGTATTCATTGTATTATATATGAACGATTGCAGTGTTAATTCTACGAACTGTGGGAGATGGCGCATAGAAAAAACTAGTCCATCGGTAAACGGAATTAAATCTGGCTATCCGGTTTGACTTTTTGGCTGATTGCCTATTATTCAGTGCTTTCAAATCAGGAAAATGCATAATTGAAATACATTTATAATATCAACCATATAGTTTCGTCGATTATTCAATGTACCTTCAAATTCGAATTACCGATTTAAAATTTTAAGAAAACTCTTTATTGTTATTATAATTATCCTAGTTCTTCGATTTAAAGGTAAAAGGTGGATGGATATGCAGAGACATAAAAAACTTAGGTTTTTAAAATAAATTATAAAAATAGTCACTAGAACTCTGCAAATAAAACTCAATTAAAGATAACTACTTTTAGAAATTATGTACGAATTCCCCTAAGTTAAAAAACAAATAAATTTTTAACCACTCAAATATGTATATCTGCTTGCATTATTTTAAGCTATGTGCAAAAGAGAGCATGTGCATAACTCTCCATGACCACATTGTGGAGAGAATCGAAGATTATATCTTTAGCAGTTCAAATATAGAAATATGGGAGATAGATGGAGACCAAACAGAGCGAAAGCTTTGCCAATTTGTAAAACTAGTTTTAACTGCTATTGCACAGCTGATCGAGTAGCTTTTATAAAGGTAATCAGAGCTATCCTAACCGATCATTAGTGCATCCAAATAGATTGGGAAATGTTGTGTGGTGCACTAAGAATAGAATGAAACATTGATAATCATCTTTTTTAGTCAGACACTGAAGTTATAGTATTACTAATTATATTCACTAAATCTGGCCAAACATAATATTACACCAAAACAGAAACACTTAAAATTCAGATCGTAATGATCACTAACAATCAATATATGTGGTATGCGAAATAAAAAAATATCTTAATTGGCTTTTACTTATCTTAGTAAGATTATTATAATTTATGAGCAAATTCAAAACATATTATTCRCACTATTCGATCGGTAGTCAAGTCAGTCAACCACATTCATACCGTTACAGAGGGTAACACTCTTTAGCACGAAACGCATCCACATTTTTTGTTTATAAAACTAAACTTATGCATTGATATTTGACAGCAGTTCCGTTTTTGAATCTGTTAAACTTTCACACTTTTAATTGCAGGAAATATGTATTATACTTAATATTTTGCTTCTTACTAGTTAGGATACCTTTGCCGATGTTCGCTCTTTTCAACGTTTAGCGTTCATATGAGCTGTTGTCGCAGCCGCGCGTTCAAAACTCGCTCGAATAATAGCCAAGCCATTGCGATAGCAACCAACTTTCGGCCGGATTTTTTATTCACATGTACGTACGGGTGGACGGGAGAAACACCATAGACGAACAGTAGCTGGCAAGCTTCAAAACAAATATCTGTTATCAAGGGGATTTCAGTGAACTTAAGCGCATACCTTACAAATAGCCGTAACATTTTGAAAGTGAAACAGCCAACAACAAGGGCAATAACAAAGGAAAAGGCAAAAAATGAGAGTTGCGTCGTTGGGTGTCGCCGCTATTGTTATTATTGCTTCATTGTACACGAACATTCGTAGGTGTACAATGTCACACCGATACACACCTATACCAACAAAGACTGCACATACACGTATGCATTTTTTCTTCCAGTTTTTGACTATCCATGTGTTTACATTTTTTTCACAGACGAGATATTTAACATGTGTGTATCTCTATGAACATGCTCAAATATACTCATGTGGACAATGAAAATATCCCTCTTCTTTAAACAGCTTTGGAGTTGAAATTTCCCTTTTTATTAGGTTAATAGCATGCTACTAGATAATGCTGGATTGCACATACATATATGACAACATATTTCTATTTTAATAAATGATATCGTTGGTACATTTTAAATTTATTTCCAATTTTACTGAAATTCACTCCTTTAATTTGAACCATTTCGCGTCAGTTCTCACTTTGTTAGGGTAATTTTAATTCCTCCTCGTGTCTACAGAGGAATTTATGTATGCAACGTTACAGAAGCGTCGCTGTAAAGTTGCCGTAAAAGTTCATCGACAATGCTTTTTGTGCAGAAAAGTTCAAATTTGGTGCTTTTGCCGAATAACACTTGCTTTTGCGCTGTATTGTGATCCAACCAAGTACATATTTATGTATTTTAATATGCATGTGTTATTTATTTACTCGAAAAATACTTGCATGCTGAAAACGGTTTCCACCCTTACTTAACGACATTTTGTGTACTCATATGTACATAAGTGAAGAATACAATTGGCAACTTTCCTATTTAAATACAATGCGATACATACCAGTATGTATGAATTTCACATTTATACCCACTATACACCATGATAAATAGGTTCGATTTTACACATACATGTGTTTCCACATGAATTTCGTTCGATTTTATTTAAGATTTTCATTAGGAAGCTGGAATTTAGTTATGGTTAAGCTTGCCAGGAAGTTTGTAACACTTCGAATAAAACGTCAGAGATAGTACAATTTAGGCTCAGTTGATATATGAATATACTATGTAGTTATATATTATCAAATGCATTAAAACACTTAAGTTTGGTCAAAATTTATGCAGTTTTTTTGTTAAGCAGATAATTTTATGGAGTTTATGATTTGAACAAAGTGTCGGCCAAGTAAACATAACAGCATCGTACGCATACCTCCACCCTTTTACGCCAATTTTCGATAACCCGGTTATATTGGTCAAGATGTCAGCTTTATACTTGAAATTCAAAAGGTTTGTATTGGCTCAATATTTCCTTTACCCCCCCCATATACCTAATATTAAGATTTTCGAACTTCTGTGCTTTTCTTACAACGATGCCTATTTGTGCTTAGAAAGAATAAAGTCTGGTGAAAACTGAAGGTATTTCCCTGGCTGTAATCCAGGAATGTAAGACAAGCCACAATAAAAAATAAGGGTGATAACTCATGAAACAATTCGAGGATACCTTTGCCTAGTTCCTTTAAGAAAATAAAAGGCACCAAACTAGTGTGCCTTATAAACGAAGTGATAGAGAATAAAATAATAGTAAACATTTTCAACATTTTGTTGTTGCGTCGTGATATTTGCGGATTTAATTTCATTCAGAGCTTTTTAAATAATTTCGCTCAGTTGAATCCTCAACTCTGCCCATCTTTAAAAAATAACACTGAAAAAGCGATTAGAGTTTCTTCATTGGGAAATATATGCAAATAATAATATTATCACTTATTATAATTACTTGACTTATTTTATATCCAGAAAACTCTATATACAATTTTATATTTATTTTTTGTATCGCATTCGATATTTTCGTAGAAATAAAAAAAATAAAAATAGTTTTACCGAAATGTTTAATTATTAAAATAATTAAAGAATAATGCCAATATTCCGACAATTAAATATTTAAAAAATATCCTAAGAGAATTATTTTAATAAATATATACTAATATACATATGTGACATGTTCAACATGAATGATAAAATAAAATAAAATAAAGTCAAAAATGTAATATACGAAATTCTGATTCCTTTCATAAAATGTTTGTCATAAGCAGTAATGATGTGGCATTTTTTATATTATTTTTTTGACTTGAATGTTGAAAAAATGCCGAAATGACACACTGCAAATCTGATAACTCTATATAACAGGGATGTGCAGTATTCTTCTTAATACTTTCCTCGTTGCAGWTATGTGTACTTGTACATATCTACCCCTAATTGCATGCACATAAAACTGCTATTTTGATGAAGGACATTCTATGGAATTCACAAAATCGAAAAAAGGAGGGTAATAACATAGAATGAACAAAATTTGTAAAGCTGAAGAGAAATACATTAGCAGCAGGCAATGGGCTTTTACCCATCATCACAATTGCATATGTTTTCCAGACTTCTTTTTTAAAATTCTTTCAGAACCCATCTCAAAACACTAAATATATATTTGGTTTGATTGGTAAAGTTAAATAGAAWATGTGAAGACTAATAATTATGAAGTTTTCAAATCTGATTTTTATAATAATTTTTTCCTTCTGTCAGGGACACAAATTGTATATGTAATAATGATATATGAAGAATAGTTTTGAATAGGGGAATTATTTTGAAGTAAAAACACAATTGGTCATTTAATAAACACATATTTATAAAAAGTAATACTCATATCCATATATTTGTTTAGGAGAAARTATTATAAATTAATTAAATAAAAATAAAATCAAATATGATATAGTTAGCATTACTTTAATTCAATAACGCAATACAACTCTTTGGAGTACTTCAAAATATTACTGATTAAATTTTCGTAAATGATGCTGTTAAAGTGCCACTCTTTAAGGCAAATACATCATTTTAAATGCATGACACGCAGAATTTGTTATATTTCTTTAACAATTTAGAAAAAAAAGGGATAGAAATATTAAGGATTAATTGTAAATACAAAGTGAAAACCAATACTTAAGACGAATAAAAATATTTGGAATTCAAATCAGGTGCAGCCAAAACATATTTATGGCAGACTTTTTAAAGCAGCGTCGGTTAAAAAAATAAATTGAAATATCGTCGGGCTTGATAAAAGTACGAGCACTTGAGGAAAAAAGCGGCGACTTGCAAATTGTTGAAATTTCTTTGGTAGTAACAACGCGATTGATCGAATGGTAGCTTCGACTATATTTCAAATCACTCAAACATTTCTTGTCAATATTTGTGCTGTTTTCACGCATACTGCAATGACGTTTCAGGCATACTTCTAAACTGTTGATGAGATAACAGCTGTTTTCGCTGCCCTGATTGCAATGGGCGTGGTTACTGAGTTGAAAGCCCTCTTACGTCCTTCCGTATTTTCGAAAACGAGAATTCCAGTATATTTCATTTATGTCCAGATGAAATAAAACTTAGTATCCAACTAAAAACCGGCGACGAAAATATTTGGTATATCTACCTTACCTTTTTCTACCTTATTCTACTCAACACATTCGTGGAGTTTGGTAAATATAGTGCGAACCAACTGCATTGTAGTCCCTGAAGGCTGAAGTATAGTGAACTTAGTAGCGATATGAGCGAATGCGATGGAAAATACTTTGTTAGTGTATAGTGAGCCCACGTTGGTTTAAGCAGTAGCCATATTTTCAGCAGAGCGAGATTGCGTTTGTGCTTGACAGAGATAAACAGTTGTATCTCTAAAAGCAGCGCTGTTGAGTCCGGAGTAAGCGTCAATATTCATTGCTAACCTTTTGGGGACGGTCTAAATGGCTCAGGGTTCAATAAATGCCGGACATACATTTGGGAGCGTTTAGTTGCCGCGCAACTTATTATAAAATATGATAAAAGAGACACTGGTAAACAATTTACTAAATGCTTCGTCGCTCTGTATAAAGAGAAGAATTCGATTGTGAAAATAGGTACACTTATACGCCGAACAAAGCTAAGGTTTGAGTCTGAGCATATTCTTTGGTGCACAAATTTGTTGAGAATTTACTCGACACATGTTCCAAATTCTGAGTGTAAATAAGTAATTTGAATATGTGTTTGTAAGATTTGCTTTATTATTAAGAAATATGTAAATGTATACGAAGAATTACAAATTCTTATAGGGATACACTTAAAATACCGAAATTCAAAATGCCGACATATCAAAACACCGACAAATCAAAATACCGACAAACCAAAACACTGACAAATCAAGAAAAGGTGTCATTGTTCGTTCGAGGCCCTGCGGCCTTCGGTCTCCATACACGAACACAGGATCATAATCCTTAGTCAGCAGAATTCTCTTTCTGTTCTTCGATAGAAATAAGGGCAGACAAGATAAAATATTTTTCACATGTCGGCATTTTGGTTTGTCGGTATTTTGATTTAGCTGCATATTTAAATTTTGTCGGTATTTCGATGTGTCGGCACTTTAAACTTCGGTATTTTAAGTGTATCCCATATTTTATCTTGTTTGCCCTTATTTATATCGAAGCACAGAAGAAGAATTCTATTGACTAAGGGTTATAAACTGGAGGCCGAAGGCCGCAGGGCCTCGAACGAACAACGCCACCGTTTCTTGATTTGTCGGTATTTTAATTGTCGGTATTGTAAATTTCGAGATTTTGATTGTCGGCATTACATTATAAAACCATTTTTATACTCTCGCAACAATGTTGCTAAAGAGAGTATTATAGTTTTGTTCACATAACGGTTGTTTGTAAGTCCTAAAACTAAAAGAGTCAGATATAGGGTTATATATACCAAAAT